TAGAGGCAGTTAGTAGGAAAACGTGATACATCCTTACTAATAAAAGCTCCTGCTTTCCTCACTATGGTAAATAGTTGCAAATGCGTTTCTGCAGCCTGAAACTCAATTGCTGACAGCACGGCAACAGAAACGCCGCGCTTAGCTCTTCGCAACTCTCTAACTTAGGTGCTTTTACTGCACGCTACCCAGCCGGCCACTCCGCAAGCGAAGCGGAGCCCAGCACCGCTCCTGTGTTCGCAGAGCTGCCGGGGCAGGCACCGCGCTCCCAGCCGGTGCACCAGACCCTCCCCTCCCCACCTCGGAGCTTCCTAATACAGGGCTGCGTGCACACACAAAATAATTAAATCTTCAAACAGCTCACCCATAGCACCAATTAAAGAGACAACCTCATCTTTCATAGAATTTATTACTTTCAGTGCTGTTGCCACAGGTATCCAAGTTTGAACGTTGTTTAAAGCAGGCTTTCAAAGGGGATACAGACTCACCTACCTCCAGGGAGAATGCATTTACTTTGTTCAGTAGACTATAACTTAAAATTTGTTGCATGCACCAGCTTGTAACTCTTTGAAAAACTCCCTGGTTAGCCAGCTTCAAATGTATTTTATGAACTTGCCCCGATCAAAGCAATTCCCTCAACAATGAGCCTCATCTCACCATCTCACTAGCAAAAAAGCACCGAACAAATTTTGGGGGTGGAAATCACAGCACAGACCAGGAGGGGACTCTCCCTTCCAAACCCACCTAAGAGATCCCAAGCAAGAGAGCTCCCTTCAGCACAAAGCAAGAAGGAAAAGACATTTAATGGTGAATTCACTTACTCAAAAGGTACAGGGGGGAAAAAAAAAAAAAAGCTGTTTTTTTAGCAGAGCTTTTATTTGTTGTGAGCAGAATCATCTGTCAGCAGGAGACCGCCTGGGCTCCTGTTTCAATAGGACACAAACCTGGCATCGCGCACCATTTCCGACGTGAAGGGGAGATGGCTGCATACTCTCCGTATTAACCACGGATGCAAAGCGCTGCTCCGGGAGATGCCTTACCTCGCACAACCATTTGCCTCGGTTTTATGTCCCTGCTCCGCAGAGCCCCAACTCATTTGCTGAAGCAAAGGCGCAGCTGGCACGCACTGACCCTGCCGAAAACCCAGTAGCCACGAGGCAACAGCCCCGGCGCAGCCCCATGCTGCGGCGGCAACACCACGGCCCGGGCTGGGAAGAGACAATGAAACTTCTTTGCCTCCCGCCACTCCTGTCTTAATGTCAATTAAAAATGGTTATTTCCATGTGAAATTTAGCACGAGTGGTTTCCTGCTAGAGGCACAGTTTAATTAAGCGCACTGGGAGGGAGCTCGTTTCTGATCAGATTAGTCATTTATGAACTATGACATGGGGGGGGGACAGAGGACACGGTTTTAAATGTTTTGCTACTGCAAAGAATAAACAAACAGTTTGGCGAGAGGACGATGAAACCGCAGCCTTCTAGGGCCAGGACAATAGGCATACACTGAGCGTCCCGGCTAAAATAAAATACCAGCAGCAAATGACACGGCTTACGCTGGAAAACACTAGTTGCAGCTCAAAGCCCCAGGAAGACCAACTTCCCTGCGGTGACCTATATGAGCTATAAATGCTGCAGACACAGTCTGCATGACGTAAGCTCCATCCTAGTGGCAATTGTTGGGTTTCGCCTTGCCAAGAAAATGCAAAGCGGAGGTGCTGAATTGTCCATGCGGCAGGGTAGCTAAACCAGTTCCTCCCTGGTGCATTTAAGGACAGAAATGAGGGAAACAGCGGCAGAGCTTAAAATAAAACCAGGAGACAAATATAAAAAAAAAAAAAAAAAAGGATCTCAAAGCTGGAGGGCTTGCAATAACACTTTGAATTTTCCTGGCCTGAGAGAGGGAAATGGGTTTGCCCTCAAGAAGGGGCCACCTGCACGAGCGCCGGCAGCTTGGCCGGGGCAATTATTAATTGGGATTTGAAAAGGATTTGAATTTGGGGCAATGTTATCACTGTGATTTTCTAGTAGCACTGTTTCAAATGAATGCACTACCTCATTTACCAGCTGGACTTTGGAAGCAAGTGGGGCATTTTGGCCGGGAGTCATCAGTCACTGCCTTGCTCCCCTCACTCCTAAGTTCCTCTGGGGAGGAAAGAGCCTTGAGTTAATAGCTCCTCCAAGGGGAAAAAAATAAAAGCTACATATTGCCCCAGGATTTCCCCAAGGAGGAGAGAGATGAAAAGTGGGAGGCCATAAATTCACATGTCCAAGGGTGGGCAGAAGCATGAAACACCAATTTTTCTGGCACATAAGACAGCATCAGTTTATTATCTTGCGGTTACTACAATAACCCCAAATAATGAGATACTGGCACTATGGTGCACACTGGCAAGCTAAGACTTAAGCGAATCAGCGTTTGCTTCTCCTTTCCAGGCAGAGGGACAGCAGCGGAGGGGAAACGCTGCGCTATCTTTATCAAGGGTACAGGATACTGATTAAACGGGAGTGTTTGAAAAACACGAGGCACATTAAAGATGAAGCCTAGGCCTTCCTGCAAGGCAAGAAGATTTAGGGAGCTAATCTCCAGGTCCAGATTACGGCGTGGCTGCAAGGCGCTCTGCTCCCTCAGCAAGTCCAGGTCCCTAAATCCAAGGACCATCTGCTCTTCACCTTCTGACCACATCAGGTTTGGTGATGATTTGACTTCAAATCAAATTTTGAGCCGGATGGCTGGCTATGCCTTTGGGGATGAACTAGTATCTGATTGTACCTTGCTGTCAATTAGTGAATTAAGCTAAACCAACATCAACAAACTACGAAAACAACCACTCGCCACTATCTAGGACCTAGTTGAGACACCTTGGATTCTTCCAACAGACGCAGTGCACCCCTCTGCATGGCACATCTCATTAATGTCTTACTGTGGTTATTCACCCCACCAGCAAAAATCGATCATCAAACATTCAGGACCACACCAAAGTCACAAAGCCGACACGCAAATGAAACATGTCCCCTGCTCTCCAAAGGTGAGGCCAAGGATGACTGGCCAAGGGATAACTCTGCTGCCAGAGCAAAAGGCTTCCCCTAAACCAAGCCCCGAGCTGCATTTCAAACCCAGGATGCCCAGGGCAGGACAAAAGAGCTGCCACAGAGCCCTGAAACAGGGACAGCAGCGATTGTGCAACTGCCTTCAGTGCAGTTGTATAACACCAGTCCTCTGTTTTTATGAACTGCTCACAGCCAGATACAAAAAGCAGCAGCCCAGAGGAAGGGTGGTGTCACCATTACCTTTCACTCACCCGAAAGAAAAGAAGGTGGGGGGGGAATAAAAGATTTTGTGTTTCGGCTGCTGCACAGCCAAGCAGAGGGGGGTCCAGTTGCTGCGCGGGCTGTACCTCAGAGCCCTGCTCGCAGCCTCTCCTCGCTGGCCAGCACTATAAACCCGGCAGCCAAGCCAGCCTCCGAGCAGGAAACGAATTAATGCGAGCTGCTCCATTACTATTCTCTCACTAGCGTGTAGCGCGTCTTTTGTGGATTATTTTAACAGCAGAAGTCACACACACGAACACTCACTGGAGAGATCAGCTTCCATCTGGGTTAACCCGAGAGTTTTCTCCCCTCGAATTTCCTCCAGCACCCACTCAACAGCTTCCCTCCCTGTAAAAATGTTTGCTCAAAACCATCTTGACATGCAGCTAAACAGCCTGATCTGAAAGCATCAAATTTCCCTGGCCAAGCAGGGCAGGGCAGAGTACACCCCTCCCGTCCCGCTTCTGCAGGTTTCCCCAAGAGCTGCCCCACAGCACGCTGTGGCATCAAAGCTGCTATCCAGAAATCCCACCCCGTTCTCCAGGATGCCTCCTGGTGTCGGGGTACGGCCATTCCACGTGGCCAGGAGTTTCCCTGGACAGCTCGAGTCGGCCCAGGGTACAGAAGGTCAAATTTTAACCATCCACAAAGCGTCAGCGTGTTTCAGCAAGAAGGGCAAATTAACCGAACTTCCTGCATGCCAGGGGCCACAGCGAGCCCTGCACAGAGCGGCTTCCCCAGGCATCAAAAGCCTGGCACAGCACCGCGCCGTCCGCCCGGACGAGAAATTCTCCACTTCAGCCTCAAATTAACCAGCGCCATGTTTCCCAATCAGACATCTAAAGCTATGCACCCTTCAGAGAGTCTCCTATCGCAGACGGATCGCCAGCCCGCTCCTCCCTGCAGACGCCCTGCTCCCAAAGCCCTTTGATGTTGGCACCCCTGGCCTCTCCTTGGCATCCCGGCCGGCAGAGATGCAGCCGCTCAGCACTTCTGGGGAGCGGGGCCAGCTGCTGGCTTCGGGGGCACTGCGGCAAGGCAGGACAGGCGAGGCACTGCTTGACAGCACCCCAGAACCGCAGCGGGGTCCAGCTCGGAGGCTGGTGAAACGGCTCCAGCCACCCTTGCTGCCCACCTCCCCGGGGCGGCCGTGCTGCCTGGAGGCATCAGGCCAGGAGGGCTTTGCAAAGGTCCCTTTGGGAATGCTGAGATCCCACCCAACAGCAGGGAGCTGCTGGAGAGGCTGAATGGAGCAGACGCCCACGCTGCACCAGAGTCTCCCTCTGGGCAGCTGAGCCCCAGGAATTAACCACCACCACCGTGTCTTCTCGGTGACGTACAGCAAAAGTCTTCCAAGGTGTACGTTTGCAGACACGCGTTTGTCTAAGCAGCTTAAGCGAAGAGCATTGACTGTCTGCTCTCGGGCTGCTTCAATAGGAGTGGCGAGACAACAACCTTCAGCTCAGGTAGTGACTTCTTAATTGGACACAGATTGGCAAGAGCAGCTTTGCCTACCCGGAGACACGTGGAGCAACAAGAAAATCATCCGGAGAAACAGTAGCAGACCACTACCAGAAAAATATATAACACAAAACTACAGAAACCCCTCCTTTTGGGTCTCTGGAAGCAAACACAAATTTATTGCAAGAAACATTACGGTGTTAAGAAAAAAAAAAAATGTAAGATGACAGTACCTGATCCTCCAAACTGAGTGCTCGCTAGGGTCGTGGGTCTGTTTTTTCCATTAGCCACTGGCAGGGGAAACATCTAGAAAAACAAGAAGATGAGAGAGGAGGGAAGAGAAAAGAGATTTCAGTATGTTAGTTTTACTGTGCTGCTGCAAAGGGGGTCAGATTGGGCAGGCGGGGGGGAGCAGAGGGGGAAGAGAAGCACTTTATTGATGTAAAAAACTTTCCTCTCCTTGTGTCCCTGCTACATAGATCAGCTGCACGAGGGACAGGAGAGCAGCGCAGCTGTGTGCTAATATACACACACATTCCTACGTGCATAAACTTCTCCTGTGTACACAGCGTGTCTGGTTCCTTAGGTGCAACTGAAAACCATCCAAGAAGCATCACTGCTGTGGTCAAAACCAACTGTTTCTTCCCTAACTTATTCACCAAGGCCCAGGCTAGAGGGTGCCCATGGGGCCATGGGAGAAAGGCCGACTCCATTCATGAAAAGCTAGCAGGAAAACAACAGCACCCGGCAAACCTCATATTATCCCTCAACACCCCAGCACCCACAGTGGTCCAGGTCTCATCCAGCATCTCCCGCGCTCCCAGGCCTGTCTCCGGCAACGTGCAGTGCCTGGGGAGGACGCGGGCTGCCCGCGGGCTCCAGCTGGCACGGGCAGAGATGACTAAGCCACACGCTCCGGCGATGCTCGACCTCGACGCAGGAAGCCTCACGCCAGCTCTCAGAGGGAAGAACCCTCCAGCCTCGAGGAGCAGCTCCCACCCCTGGTGCTTCGGGGGCTCCAGCGCCACCGTGACCTAACAAGGCCCTGGGGTCCGGTGGGAGAAGCTGCGCCAAGGGCAAAGGTATTTAACTTACAATTAGGAAGATTAACGTATTTTACAGTATCAGTCCTTCTGGCTACTCGTTTGCTATGCTGCTGCAGCTTCAGTGTCACAACTAATCTTCTCCTGCCAGGGAGCTCCCTCAAAAATACTGCATACCTCGTCAGCTAACCTGTATAAATATTTTTAATATAAGTTGGGAGGGTTTCAGAAGCTGTTATTTAAAAATTTATATGCACCTGCGTGCAGCAGAAAAGAAAACTAATTCTTCTCCACACAAATGGAGCTCCAGCCAATAAAACAACTGGTGGGAAAACGCTTAGTGAATTAACATTTTAATATCCTTTTACTACTCAAGATACTTTCACCACCAAGTCATTTGAATTTTTATTATTTTTAGCCTTGCAATGTCTGAGTAACTCAAAAGTTTAATGCTTTGAAGATTAAACAATGTAATGGCACAAGAGCCTCCAGAAATGCAGCATTTCATGCCCTGACATAGCTGATGTCTGGCTGTGGTCAGAAACATTCCTTTGTACAAAACCGTCTGCCCAGCTTTGTTTTCACAAATGCTGGGGAGAAAAAAAAAAAACAAAAAAAAACCCAGTTAAATGTGGTAGAGATGCAAAGAGAGCAGTTAAGAAACCAACTGCCATTCAAAAAAAGAATACAAATTTGGGATCATATATATGTATGCACACACACACATCATGTATATGTTATATATATGTATTTAAATAAAGGTGTAAACAGTGTTTAAATACGCAGCCCGCGTGTGGACAACCACTCCCGCCAGCAGCCAGCCTGCAGACACCTGCCTTCCTACGGCTTTGCCCCCAGCCGTAAGCCCACTCTCCCTTCACCCTCCTACACGCAGCCTTGCAGTGAGAGCCGCTGGACATGCATCGCTGGGGGGGCTCCTGCTGCAACCCCCCAGGATGCTGCTGCCCACCCCGAGTGGGCTCCAGAGTCACTTGGGGTGGGCCAGCAGCCCAGCCATCGAATACGCCTTGTTTCCTCAGGAAGTCAGGCTAGAAAATAAAAACAAACCCTGACGACACCAAAGACTTGCAGCCTACCTTCCTCTGTAAGGCTACAGGTTTTTCCTGCCCGCCCCCCGCCTTTGCAGGGCAGCGTTGTTTTCTGCAAAGATCTCCAAAATTACTAAAAATGTAATTTATATGGCTGATCCCACCCAGCCTGTACTCACTCCCTCCTCTTAAGGTAGGGAAGAAGATTAAGTGAAGTGGTTAGAAACCCCCTTTCCAAGTGGCAAGAGGCAGTTCTGCATGTGCGAGCAGGGGGGGATGGGAAGTATGAACATAATGGTACCCAGCAGCAAAACCCAACAAACAAACAACAACCCCCCCCCCCCCCAAAAAAAGCACTGCTGGCTCTTTTTCACGAGCATTTCTGCCTAATACTTGCTGATGCTGAAAAACCCAAGGTCTGAGCAGCAAATACAAGCGGAGAAAATGAACAGCTTTGTTCCATTGTGCAACGAGCGCTTTCTATTTCTGCAAAAGAGGTGGTCCCCCCCCCTCACCGCCACGCTTGGCAATCCCCAGCACACCCCCGCACCCGGCCCCGCCGGGGGATGCCCTCCCCACCTCTCCCCTTCGCCCGCCTCTGCCTGCTTCGAGAGAGATATCTCCAGACTGATGCAACACCTTCCTGCTCGCCCTCCCCAAGGGATGAAGGACTGGCAGACCCCTCTGCACACCAAGGCGAGCGGAGATGCTAAAGCAGGGTGATGCCGGAGAAAGAGGAACCCCGGGTTACCCCTCACCTCAATACAGGCTCCAAACACACTTATCGCTTGCCAACTCCAGGAAGCATTTTGGGTTTGGTTTTTTTTTTCTTGCTGCCAGCTTGTTTTTCCACTGTGGTGTGGGCTGAAGCCGACCCGGTACGCTGCCTCGAGGAGCCTGGCGCAAGTCATACGTGAAGTGCCGGCTGCCTTCGCTGGCATATGTCACTCACAGGCAAAGTTCACCCACCCACTGCGAATTTCCTTTCTGCTTTTAAATGCTGCTTTAAAAATAAACGAGGGGGAGGGAGGAGACGAACCAGAGCTGGCACGTACCAGAGGGACCCAGGCATTGAGAAGGGACCCAGGCATGAGCGTCTGAGGAACTGTAATTGGGTCATTACTTGGCCTTTGTTGGATTTGAATAATGTAGATTTAAACGGTTATGTAAAATCCCCCATCTTAAGTCGCTGTATTTGGTTTCTCATGCCCGATTCCAGCCTCCCTGACAGCTGACACCAACTTCTGCGTACCCTCGCAGCTCAATCTCCACCCCTCCCAAAGAATTTATCCTCCCTCCAGTTCTCCCAGGTTAAAAGATGCAAATCCAGCGCACGGGAAGATCCAAACCCCCGCACCTGCCACCAGGCAGGTTATAGCTAAGAGACCCCACACTTGCAACAGCGAACTTCGTAAGCAAGAAAGGGAATTTGCCAGACACAAGTACCAATATCAAGCAGCATTTTGTTTATTGTGTACTTCTACCAGTGCATCAGTGTTTTCAAATTAAATAGCTGTTTTCACTTCCTCTGCTCTTCCACCTTATGAACTCCAGGCTGAACCAACCTCAGGCCTGAACTCAAAACCTGAAATCTATTTTGCAGTGTGGAATGTATCCAGCTGTTAATTTGGGGAGAAAAGGGAATTTGACTCAATAAACATTGCCAGCAGGATATTTTATACATGTTCATTTAAGACAGACCTTCCTGACTACAGCCCCAAACGTCCACTGTGGCGTAAAGTCAAACTTTACAACTGCTTCACTCTAAACAAAAGCAAGAGTTTTATCATGGAAACACAGGCGCTGCGCCTTGGCCGGAGCAGGGCGCAGGGCACGGCTTCAGCATCCTCCAGCACGTCAGAAGCAGCAGCGGCGAGGGCAGAAGGAGCTTGCGTGAGCCCTGCTTGCCGGTAACAGTTTGGCTTTCACCCCCAGTTCGACGGCTGGAGCCACGAGGGCTGGCACGCCACGAGAGCAGTTGCTCGCGGAGAAATCAGACGGCAGGTCCTATGTGACTGCTCAAGCCCCTGCCCACCCTGCAACGTCTCATCGAGCTAGAAACCCACCCTGACAACTAGCATCCCCGCAGCATATGGTTAATACTCTGCTAATAATCATGGCTGTTAACAGCATTTCACTTCTGCCAGAGACCTAGGCTGGCACGCAGCCGCCTGCCTCTATCTAGCTTGGCAGGCACGCTCTGCGGTACGGACAGGCCCCCAACCCCGTCTGCGTGCCTCCCCCGGGCTGTTCCATCCCAGCTTTCCCCGTGCCATGGGCTGTCCCTGCCCTCCAAGCACCCCAGCCGAGCCAGGATACCTGCCCGCACCTTCCCACAACACACCAACACCGGCAGCATGACACAGCTGAGATGCCGCCCGGGATAACGACGGCGAGTCCTCGTGGCCGAGCATCTCCCGACAGCGCAGACCGAGGGCAGCTCCTGCCTTGTGCAGCCTGTGCCCGTCAGGCCAAGCTGCAAAGCCTGGCAACCACGGGCCAAAGGATAACGCACCAAAACCCGAGCCTAATAAATAGGTTAAGCCGGCAACTCGAATCTATAGGCAGGATGCTTTCTCGAAAGCTCTCCTCCAGATTTGCAAGCCCGTCCTGGACTATTGCCAGGCAGCGGTGGTGAAAGAAAGCTTACAAATTACCTGTACTTTGGGGCAATTATAAAAGGCAATTTGTTCAGAGGTAGAGGTAAGCACGCTGCCGTGCACACCCCAAAGCAGCGATCAGACTACATAGCTGGGTGTTTGGCTCTGGCTCACTTATATGCAGGTTACAGATTCCTTTGATTTTCACCCTTATTGGCAAATTACATTGGCACAAAGCTTTGGGCAAGCACTTTGCAGCTCAATAACTACCCAATGTACTTATTTATTCAAGAAGGCACGAGTCTTTCTTTTCAGAACTGTAAGCCCAATTTATAGCATCTCACACAACCCTGCCACTTACTGACCCCACGAACTCACGTCTGACTATGCAACGCCGTTAGGGCCGGACCTGAAAATCCACTCACTGCGCAGCAAAACATGGCGTAGAGCTGGACCACAGACTACTGGGGTTGAAGAGATTTTCCCTAGGAAAAAGGAACCAAAATACTGATGTGAAGCAAATGCTTCCAGCTGCTCTGAATCTCTCTCTCTAGTCTTCCCTCCCATCTACTCTCCTGGAGAGGATTAGCAAACCAACGCTCTACTCCTGCTTATTCAAAGAAAAATACAAATATACTTGAAAGAGCAAGCTTGGTGGTCAAAAAGCCCGCATCCCAACAACACAGGGAGAGCAGCCCATGGAGCAGCATCTTCGACAGACCCACACTGTGCACAACAAGCTTGCGATGCCAGGTTGAAGACTGTCTACTAGCTAGGAAGCTTTCCATTTTAGCTACTCATCCTTCAGGAGAGATGTTAATATTCCCTTTATGCAAACTCAGGAGAAGGGTGTGCATGTGCAGAGATGAGGGTTTGTGAAACCGATCTGGCTCAAATCCAGACTGCGTTGGAGCCCATCGGCCAACTTATCCTGGAGGGAACGTCTTCGAATCATTTGCTGGCAAATGACATTTGCAGGCCCTGATCCTGCAAGCAGCCACCCCCAGTTCCGCTGCTGAACGCATGAGCCTTACATGAACACAGAACAAGTTCTGGTCGTTCCCAGGTTTATGCCAGCGTAAGAGCATTGGAATTGAACCCAAATTCAGCCGTTAGGTGTAGAATAATCTCCAAGGACAGAAACATTCATGTACAGAGGGAACAGGTCAGGACCCCTCCAGGGAATACAGCTCTGAGCATGCAAATGAGGATGGTTCGTTAAATTAGAAAATAAGGTCTTAGGGTTTTTTTAAAGCTCTAAATGGTGAGTGGGATTTGATTTTTTTTGAAGGGGGAGAAAAACAAAGCGGGAGCCACTGCAGCCCTGGCCAGGGAGCAGTTCAAAACCTGGCACTCTCCAGTGCAGGAGATGGAAAGCTCCAGGGCTCCTGCCAACCCGCAGGACCTCTGAGATGAGAGAGGGACAAATAACCACGCACCGCTCCCCAGCAAGCCCTGAGCATATTCCTGTTTTTAAACACATACCATCGCTGCAGTCCCCCTACCAACTGGAAAACATACTACTGTAAAAATACATCGCTGGTAATTTAACGGAACTAGCCTCCCAACACAAGCATGAAACTGGGAGAACTGAGCCCCTCCTCCGGCAGCAGGACTGCTCTTCGGGGGACCGAGAGACCCCACCACTGACAGCCCCCTCCCAAGCGCGGAGCCCTGCCGGGACAGGTACAAGCCCCAGCTGTACAAAAAGGTTTATTTCCCATTGCTAAACCCTCGGTGCTCAGGTGCAGAAAAGCAGCCCAGTCTCAGCACTTCTCACAGGCGTTAAGAGGTACCAGGACAGTGGGTACCCCTAGTTCTGCCGCCGCTTTTCCCCCCGCCTTTACTCCCTTGTTCTCCAAGGGGCAGGAAAATCAGCGGGGCCGTGGGCTGGGTGACCCAGGACAGCCCAGAGCTACAGCAGCAACACTCATGGTTAGTCCTCCTCATGGGGCTGTTTCTTCTATCTTTGCAGCACGTTTGCTTATCTAAAAAGCAAGACGCGCGCTCCAAATGCCATGAGGGTGCAGCACACAACAGAGGAACCCAACAGAAAGTTATTTTCTTTTGAACACAAGTTCTCCCCTCCACAAGTCACCTGCCAATGACAGCCAGCACCGGTGCAGCAAGTGCACAGCGTACGCTGTGTGGCAGATTGCCGACCCTGGACGGCAGCACAGACGGATGTGCCGGGGACTAACCCTCACTCTGCTACGACTAGAAGGGACTTCTCCTCCCTCCGAGCTGTGCACACCCTTCTGGGGGAACTCTTAGGTCCTGTTTCTTTGAAAATAAACAGCTCCTAAATGCAGCTAAAGGTTTCCAGGATACAGAAGAGCAGAGCATGGGGAACACAAGTGTCCAACTCCTGCAAAAATAATGCACTGGAGAGCTTGGACACATTTCAAACTGTGACAAAATAACCTGTGGGAGCAAAAGTTTAATAGTCTGGATCTGGGGAGAGGAAAAAAGCCTGATTATTCAGCTACTGAAGTTACATCTTTGCATGGCTTCAGAAACAGTCACCCAGCCCATTTCGCGGTGAGCATTTAAACAGAGAACACACAACTCCCTTACGTTTCCCCAGAATTTCCCATCCAAAAAAACCCCAACCCACCTCTCTGTGCTCCCTGCAAGGAAACAATATACGTTTGAGGGGAAGAGGGGAGAGGAGGGGCAGAGGCTTTGCTTTAACTTGAAAATAAACAAGTTGCAGCACATGTGCATGCACACAAACACGGCACATCTGAAACCCATCATGTCCAATTTACAGGCTCACATTTCCTCCCTTCTGCAGCTCCAAAACACTGCACACAAGCAAAGCCCCGGGGCCTTTAAAGCCCCCCGGCCGCGCTCGCTTACCATACTGAAGTCCAGCAGGTCACTGAGCTCTTTGTCTGTCCCAACTGCAGCCATTCTCTGCTGCTGCTGATTCATACTCCCACAGACTCAACAGTGGCAGTCCTAGAGAAAGCGAGGGGGAGGGGAAAGAGATATTTTAATGACTAGAGCAAACTACCCACCCCATTGATGAATATTTTAAAAAGACAGACCGAGAGAGAAAGGGGTGAGAAAAGAAAAATCCTTTGCGTGTCTCCAGCATCCAAGTCCTCCGCTGAGAGCACAGTCGGAGTCCTCACATAGCACCCAGAGGCAGGAACAAGCGCTCTATTGACCAGACACACTTGTATGTTAGTTTTTTGCTGCCAATTCCACTAGTTCAGGCCAATTCTGTTCCTGGCGTGTGGCGAATGAAGGGGGGGGAAAAAAAAAAAAAGAAAAAAAAAAAAGAGTCAACTCATTTATCAAAGGGTTCAGGCAAGTTATCACTCAGGCGCTTGTCTGGCTCGGCTCGCCCCCTCTCCTTCCCCCACACTCACTCCCCGCAGGAGGCTCTCTTGTCCTTGCCTAGTTTTGTTTAAAAAAAAAAAAAGAAAAAAAAAGGTCTGATCTTACGCCCCTTTCCTTCGGGTTGCCGAGCACCTGCAGCTGCTTTTTCAGGGGCTGAATTTGGGGATGCCCAGCCAGGCCATACCCGGTGAGAACTGAACCTCTCCGCTCCCAAAAGGGACTGGAAAAAGAATTTTTGTTTTCGGAGGGTTTTGCAAAAATAAAGCCCTCCAGGCAACCTTGCAAGATAGGTAAATATTATTCTTCCTAATTTTACAGATTATTTGTTTAAAGGGAGATTGATCTTTTTGGCTAGCTCACTATGATAGAAAAATATTTCTTTGGGAGGGAGGCAGAGAGGCCTGGGATGAGATAAAAGATTCCATTTTGGGGGCTTTTTTTTTTTTTTTTTAGGAACTCATTCATGGTTACAAGGGGCAGCTGGCCAATAAATTTAACTCATTAATCATAAGGTTAAAAAAAAAAAAAAAGAAGAAAACTCCATGCGATCCAAGGCGTTTGTAGGCTGTGCCGGCACAGCCACCACATTTCAATGAAGTTTTACAAAAAACGCTGAAATCAGCCCAGCACGTAAAAACCCTTCGCCACTATAAAAAAAACAGCCGGGGGATTTTTTTTTTTTTTT